TGCGGATTCTTAAAAAGAATAAATTCATGGAACAGATGAAAATTTGTATAAAATCACACAAATCAGACTTCCTTCCAGAGGCTACAAAAATACATTGTATCAGCAATTCTCTTTTGGTTTAGCTTTAAAGAAGAAGAAAAGGGGCTGGAGAGATGACTCAGAGGTTAAGAGCACTGACTACTCTTGCAGTTCAATTCCCACCACCCACATGGTGGCTACAAACTGTCCTGAACTCCAGTTCCAGGGGAATTTGAAGCCCTCTTCTGACCTCCATGGCATTGCATGACCCAGGTGCACTTACATACATGCAGGCAATACACTCATGCTCATAAAATAAAAATAAAAATAAATAAGTAAAAAAAAAATAAAAAAGAAAAAGTAAAAATGTCAAGATCTTCCAAAACTTGATCTAACCTGATCTAGATACAGAATACTTAATAATGTATTTGTTAAGGATCTATAAGGAATAAAAGAGCAGGGAGGGAGATGTATAAATAAGACCCAGATCCTCATGGGTTCTAAGTACTTCAGCAATAAAATAACAAACTGCCTATCAACATATTACTCCTTTTGTTTGGTCTCTTCATAATTAATTTTAATAAATTACTTGGCCTCCCCCATCACTCAAGCAAGTTGTCATACAAAGCAACCATCCCCAGAACCCAGGGATACAAAGCCACTCAGTGAGAGGGAGCCGAAGAAGGGCGGGCTGGTGACTCACTAGAAACCATAAAGCTTTTTTGTGGAAATCAACTATCAATGAAGCTATTGTAAGATCATGGGCTCTATAAGTGCAGACTAGTTATGAATTCTCACAGGGCAAGAGCACTCTCAAAAAGACACAAAAACACCAAGCCTGGAAACCCATTCCAAGGGTGGCCTTGCCTCAGGTGCTAAGAGTGTCTGCCTAAGCTCACCAGTTTGCTGGATTCAAGAATTCCTGCCAAGAAAGTGGGGGTGCCTGGTTCAGTACTCTCCAAGTTGGTATGGGTTTTGCTAGCTCTGTGCACTGAGGGTCCCAGACTCAAGCCTGACAGTCACCACTGGCTGCTATGGGGCCGGCAAAGTTAAGTAACTTTTACTAGTCTTAAATGTTGGTTTCCAGAATTGTAACTGATCATAAAACACTTGAAACAAAAGATGGACACAGTAATAAAACACTTAAAATTTGAACTGCCTCCCTTTATCATTTTGAATATTTTCATACAAGAAATATAATAGTTATCTTGCAATGTCATATTCAGAAAGGAACAATAAATATTGCTGAATGTACAAATCACCCTGCATAAATATTGCTGAATGTACAAATCATCTGTGAATTATTTTATGCCTTCAAAAATGATCACTGATTGGATGGCTCAGAGTCAAGTGTATAAATAAAGTAAAAATGAAATAAAAGCAGAGTGCAAATGCTCCAAACTTTAGGAAGGACACTGTCACAGAGAAGCTACTTCTAATATCTTTTCCTCATACACCCAGAAAACAAATCACTTGACCCCAATCAAAATGACCACCAAATACTATAAAGCCTACACTTTGGACGACTATGTTTTTCAGTTTTTGTGCTTTACTCTGGATAGCTTAATGAAAATTTCAGCAAACTTTCAGCTCCAAAGCATTACCTTTCAGGTTCTGGCAGGAAAGAACAATTAAGGTCCCCTTAAAAGGCACTGCTGCTGGAAACAGCATGCACCCAGCATCAGGTATGATGAATCAGAACAAAGGCCAGCCACCTCACCCTGGACAGTTGCTTCAAAGCACACCAGTGACACAGAGGATGGCTTGAGAGTAACAGCAAGGGCTGGAAAGCAAGCTCACTGTATACTGATGACCGGAAATGAGAACTGTAAAAGTTGCTTTCTGTAAATTAGCAGATATGTAAAAACTAAGAAGGCTGAGACTTCTGAATATAAAAATAGCAGTTTTCATCCTATAACACACACTAACACACACACACACACACACACACACACACCCCTGACTGTTGCAATCCTAACGTGTGCCCCACCCGCAGCCAGCTGCTACCCAGCCACATGGGCACTCATGCTCTTTTTGCCTTTTGTTGCAAAATTTATTCAAATTAAATAGCAGGAATTTGAAGTAACAGAAAAGGAAGATTATCAGAACAGACAGGAAATATCCCAGGAGCAAAAGGGAGGCCAAGTGTACAATTTTAAATGAAGGAAACAAAAAACAATATGAGGGAATTTAGTTATACTAGTGTCAAAGAGTGTGAATATGAAGCTAAAATAACACGGAAATAAATTGTCAAGGAAGATTCCGAATGATGTGCCTTCAAAAAAGCAAGAAAAGTCCTGCAAAAACAGCAGAGGCAGCCAGCTCTGAGGAGGAGGAAAAGGTGCAAGGGGCTGGGAAGGCTGGAGAGCTCTTAACCTAGATGGCACCTCTCATCGACCCAATTTACTTTGTTTCCTGACTCGTTATTTTAACCCACAGCTGAGCACAGGCCAGAGTTTGTTTAGTTTCTCCCTCTGAAACTTTCAACTAGTATTTCAAGTTCCATCAGACTATGCCTACCACTTAGCACCGTGGAGAATTTCTTTAAGGGGAAAAACAAACATCTCCATCTCGGGTAAGATGAGTTCTTTCCACGCAGCTCCTTGCCGGTTGTTAGAGCCTGGCCTGCCGCCACCGCGTTTCCTTCTCGGGCAGGCCAGAAAGGTTTGCTTTCCACCAAGCAGTAAAAGTCGCACCCGCCTAGGGGAGGAAAATGTTCCGATTCTAGCACAGTTAGATCAGACCACTCAGCCAAACCCACTCTGATCTAATCCACAGCCTATTCAACCAAATCCACCTAGTCTAGTCTAGTCTAGTCTAGGCCGACTCCTGAGAGAAACCAGAAGATGTGGACAGATACTTGGGGAGTGAAGGAGAGCCAAGAGGGCGGCTGGGCAGCAGGGGAGAGACAATGGCAAGGAAAACAAAGGAAGCTAGATTTAAGTGTGTGCCTACCTGAAACTGCAACTTTATAGTTCTATCAAAGTAATGAAAGTAGAAACAACCACACACTTTTTAATGTAGAAGAAAAACAGTGGATGCATAGGAAGGAAAAATTGATTAATCTGCTTCTACTTGTAGCCAGGCAGATTTA